CGCGCTCTTCCTCTCCTCACACATGGCATAAAACCAGCCTTGCAGAACGGCATCAGACTGAGATAACACAGAGAGAAAAGCTGCAGAAGTTCCCACAGGTCCAGCTCTGTCCTAACACTCTTGGGCTGAGACCACGTGGATGCAGGAAGAAAGGCAGAGGGCTACAGTGAGAGCCCAAGGCAAAAAATACTTTCACTAGTACTTGTAATTCGTGAGTGCTAAATTCATTAAAATAATTGGCAAGGAAATCATTGGGGGGTGGGGCAGGGAGAGAGTGGGGGAAAGAGGGAGGGAAGGGAGACACAAAATGTATTTACCAAACTCTTTTCCTTATTGGCTTTAAACATGGCACATTGTGAAAAAACAAGGCATGTGGAGACCAGCAATTCACTATAGTTGCCTTAAAATGGTAAAAGCTGGTCCAAACAACAGCTACTGAAATGCCTCTTGTTCTGATGGCTTTTTGGCTCGCCTGAAGTGAGTTATGAAGTATCAATGCACTTCCCACTTGATACCTCCCTCCTGGACAAAAACGAAAACCAGGAAGGAGGTGGGACAGAGTAGCTAATTTCCCACATAATGAGAGGTTGTGCTCTTCCCCTCCAGCTCCCTACCAGTGACATTCACCTCTGGAGTGAGGCTTCGCAAGTTTGAAGGGAGGCAGCTGGAAAATGGATTACAAGTGAGAGGGCTCAACTGGCTGTATTGTACTGATGTCTTTACCAAAGTTGCTCTTACAGGGATGCTCTTGGGAGCACAGGAGACAAAGCAAAACTGGTGTGAAAGCCAATATTATAGGACCAAAAGACAGGAGTACCATAAAGACCAGAAGTTCAGGGGGAAGATGAGGAGTGGAGAAAGGATAGTTAGGCCAGCCTTCCCCAAAGAAAGAATTAGAATCACTGCTCTAAAAGAAAATCAGACAAGCCTTACTCAAAACATTTGCACTGCCATGGCCTGTGCTGTGGAAAAATAAAACATTTTCCCAAACTTGTGCGGCTCATTTTTCTTGAAAATCCAAACAATTTCTTCACAAACATCCCAGCAGGAAAAATTAGAAAATACTTCTGACTATCTCAGGTTCTCCCTGTCCCCCATTTCCCATCCTGTCGTACAGTCAAAAAATAATCAAAGACATTTCTTCACACTTGGTAAATATAAAATACAGACAGCTCTGCAGCTCATATCTATCACATCAAGCATGGCCAGGAGCAGATATTTATGGCAGCTACAAATCCTTATTTTAGAAGGGTTTCTATTTGCTTCACTAATAAACAATCATAATGACACTACCAGGCACTGTTATAATTAGAAAACACTAGAGGTCAGTCACCCTTTCTGCTGTACGAGTGCATTTCAATATGATTACAAACAACAGCTGGATGTTAACAGCAAGGCAAGGAGGAAAGGGAGTTATTTACATACTCAAGCATGAGGATGTCACTACAATACCTGAATAGTCAAGCAACCAAATCCCTAAGAGGATCTGTCCTCAGCAGTTTGGGATGGGGCTGAAAAAAGGTTCTTCATGCACCTGGACAACCAAAGAAAAAGAAGCAACCAAAGCAAGTGAAAAGTACTCAGCTATCCATTACACTGGGCTTAAGAGCTACGCTTGTTTCAATGTAAACATGAGATCTTTGATATCACATGTGACTTGATCTTACCACATGCGATAGGACAGATAGGTATGCCAACTGCACAGTATACTGCCTTACCTCATGCACAAGGAGGGACTTAGCTGCAAGCAAAAGAATTCTGCTGCTTCAATATGATAAAGTCTTCCACTACACCTGTAAATTAGCTCGAGCCTGCATAAGTCAATAAGCTCAAGCCTACGTAACTCAAAGTATGACATACAGACAGCACAAGACTGCAGACTCTAGGCAGCCACCTCTGCATGCAGAAATTGTCCAGGTCTTGTAGCTTCAAGAGATTAGCTCATGTAAGCATCCCCAGAGACAAGCCTGTCCTAATGTGGCTCTGGCATGGTCAATCCTAAGGAGGATGGTGGCAGGTCTCCCTCCCACACATGCTGCTTTTCCCTTTCACCATGCCAGCTTCTTGGGCATCCAAGGTTTAGTTCCACTGTTCTGATCTTGCCTATCCCATGGAGTTAACATAAAGGGCTGCAATCAACTTCAGGCAGAGAAAAACTGTAAGAAAGCAGCGAGTTTCTTTTTCTAATTGGCAGCATATAAATTATACCAATAACTTCACCAGCAGATGATCTTTTCCATCTGATGGTTGTTGCCTGCAGGATTAAATCCCCAGAGAGACTTTGCCTGGCAGAACAAAAAGGAAAAATCATGCCCCAATAAAGTCATTGCAGTAACACACAGTGCTTACATGCATACGGAGAAAGGTTTGTTGTCTTCTTCCAATTTGCCTCCTACTGATGTGAGATTACATCTTCCTACAGGGAACCAAAGCAAAGCAGATTTAAAGTAATTTTTGTTCACCCAGGATGATTTAGAGAAAGGGCCAGTCATTCAGGTGAAGAGCATGCTACAGGGTCACAGGATTAAAGCCTGGAGTTTTCACAGAGCCTCAATCCCATTGTTAGACAGCTAATTAAGACTGGACTTAACTACAGACCGGGAAGGCACCAATGAAGGAAGGCAACCCCCAGGCCACTGGGGATACTCTATGGTATATAGGGCTGGGTTTTTCTGGGGATTCTCCCATTAGAAATGAGAGCCAGAATGATTCCCAGATACGTATCAACACAGATCCAATTCTGAAAAAAAAAATGTGTCCACTGCACTTTCAGATTTGACCAGATGCTTCTGACTGGCTTTCTGCCTTCTCCCTCCAAGGAATGCCCTGACCCTTCTCAACACTAATGGATTATCTAGTTCCTTCCTGATCAGCTGTCCCAAGATCCAGAGTCTATCCACTCAGTCAATCCTCCCTGCCTCCATAAAGCTCCTTGTGCTGTGCCAGATGTCACAGAATACAGCTGGGACTAAATACACCCTCAGCCAACCACACTCCCCTAACCCTCCCCCAGGTACCACACGCATCAGGACAGTAGTGTGGGACCTATGGCCTCCTCTGATATTACCCATAGGGATTGTAATGCAATCTCATTGAGGCCAAAAAGCAGCTTTGCCACCACATTGCCAAAGACTTCATAGGAGCAGGGATGGATTCTAAAACCACTCAGGCACTCAAGTAACTTTTACTACAGCTTTTTACCAAAGAGGAACTCATTGGCATAACTCTCAAAGGTTATGAAGGCTCAGTTTGCAACTGAAGCCAAAGAATATTCTCCCACTGGCACTGAAGTGCATGACTTTTACTTCAATCATAATCAGGTCCAGTCTCCAGTGGACCACTGTATTGAGCAGACAGCACCTGAGCCACAACACAAGATCTGCAGCCTGCTAAAAGAAAATGTATGATTTCATGTCCACAGTACTGAAGAGGAACTTGCTTACACAACCAACCTTCTATTACTTGGCATACAAGTAATCCTGAGCAAATAACTTTTCTCTACCTTTATTTCTCCAAAGACAACATGAGTGATAACAGTGATCCCCTCAGTAAAGTCTACAGGTGAAAAGCAGCATACGAGCACACTGTGGTGACTGCTAGGGGTACACAAGGCCATTGCAAACAAGAAATTGCACTGCAGAAAGCATATCATGTCAAAGACATGTCAAACTATGCCAAAGAGAGAACTCATATTGCAATCACCAGTATTTATTGTTAAAGGGAATTCAATATGGAAAGTGAGCATAACAACAGTACCAGGTCACTTCTTGAAAGCCTGTCAAGAATGAATTTGAGAACTAACACTAGCACCTCATAGAACTCTTTCTAGACATGAAGGTTACTTCAGGAGCAAATTCTTAGTGAAATAAAACAAAACACGACCACATGGTGTGTTAGTGCATCTTTTAGAGAGGCAGAATGCCTTTGGCCTTTAGATCCTTTTGCTCTAAAACCAGAATCCCTACTTAATGATGCTTTTTTCCTTCTTCTTGAATATTGGAATATACTGCCTCCTGAGTGATGGTGGCTTTTTGCCTCATGCAGGCTGTGCAGAAGGCCTGATGGACTGAACAGTTCTCCCAACCAGGAAAGAGCACAATGCAGCCTTCGTACCCCGCTTATGGGTAAGAATCACGAAGAAAAGGCTTCAGTGTTTCATTAATACCATGTCACATACGTAACTCAGGATATATTAGATAACACAACCATCATACTGAGTGTACGTGGGAGACCAGCAATTTACTCCTTGAGTTTAACCCTTGGCTATCAAGCCAGAGCATTACATCAGAGGAGAAACAGAAATGTAATTTGTGCCTTCTGAAAAACACCTGTGGGCACACCAGTTTATCAGCACTACCACTTTGCTAGTGCTCGCTGGAACATGCCCATGAATGGGAACTTAACCATACCCTCTGGCCATACCTAAACTGGGCTAACATAGTGTTAAAGTATTTGCCAACCTATTTTAACAGATGTAACTCAAACAAAGATTTAGACAATTCCAAAGAAGTTGAGCAGGAACAAGTTTTATAAAACTTTACAATGAGTCTGTAAAAAAGCAACCAACACATACAAGCAATCTAGTCTTAACTTTAGGTAGGTCTGCACAGCCCTGGCACTGCTAAATCCCACAGGTGACATCTGAGCGCATAGCCCAAGTCTTGACACCAAACTCCAGGAATGCTGGTGGCACTGACCAACATCCCCTCAAATCCAACGCTCACAGTCCACGCACCACATGCTACAACCCGAAGGCAACCCGATTTCCTGGGTTTGCACGTGCAACTAACCCAGGATAAAGCACAGTGCTCTTCTAAATGCTGTGCTTGGGAAACACGCAAGTTTTGGGGACCAAAAATTAGGAACCTGCCCCACACACGACGTTTAGCACCAGGGTAGGTGGGGGAAGGCATCCCGGGAGACAGCAGAAACAAAGTCCCTGCTGCTGCAAGGAGGCACTGAAGGGTGAATAAACGTTTTTAAATGCGACTGTCACTTACTTATCCAGGACGAAGTAGAGATCAAAGGCACCGTGACAGGAGCGCTGCTCTTCTTGCTCTTCCTCCTCCTCCGGCCGGGCGCAGGCGGTCAGGCTCCCCACTGCCAGCAAGAAGCAGCACAAAACCGCTGCTTTCTCCATGCTGCTCCTGCAACTCGCCATCTTTTCCCTTCTTTAATTTTCCCCCCCCCCCCAGCCTCTCTCTCTCGCCGCAGACCTTACGGGCTCTTCGGAAGCACCCGGGGAAGAAGGTGGGGGAGCGGTAAGGAAGAAAGAAGAAGAAGAAAAAAAAAACCAACCAAAAAACAAAAAAAAACCCACTAACTTCAGGATTTCGGCCCAACCCTGCGTGCTCAAGGCAGCCCT